AAATTTGATGGGACCACTTGTAACAGATAAAAAAAACTCAAAAAATGACGATAGCAAGAGTTAAATGATATATAAAAAACAAAAAAATTTCTGGCGCTTACACGTCGTGCTTGTGGCTCTCCTCGTCAATCTTACTTTCAACAGCCGCCAACTCATCGTACATCGCTTCCGTCGAAGGAAAAGTGATCTTACCCTATATTTAGATAGCAATAACGAGAAAAAATGGAAATAATAACAAGAGTAAAAAAAAAGATAGGAAGACAGATAGATCGACCAAAAGTTTAATGAGCACCTCAAGAATCTCTTCTCGTCTCCTTGTATATTTATCCATCATATTACCGACAACAGCCATTAGGTTGAACATAATATCGCCGTCGTTGAACCTTTAGAGCACTTGTTACTCGGATATATTACTTTATTAGCCTAAGAAATGCTAAAAAAAAAAATGTGTAATCAACCTCTTCATTCGCTCCGTGATTATCGGGCTTATCACTTCCATCCACGATTTTCCATCTGGAATCACCGAGACTTCTAGCGGAAATTCTCGTAGACCATCTAGCTCATAAATCTGAAACATAGAACGGCATAAAATGGAAAAAGAAAGACGGAAGTATCAAAAATCTATGCAAAAAACCGGCTCTACCATCAATGTTTCAAGATGAGCCCATTCTAAAATGAATCCTCGTCAAGAAATAATGGTGAAACCTCCTCACTTACTTTGTTCCCTACCGGCACAAAAGTGATGAAGTGATAGTTTTCCTCGGATTGAGGAAGATTGAGATCGAGCTCATAGAAAGTCGGACGTGCGAAACTATTGTGTACTTGGCGAATTTTCTCTGAATTCGACAAAACCAATCCTCGACTCTGGAAGAAACCACCTCAGATAACAACTTAGACAACTCAGTTCCTTCAAGGACGAAGTCTGAGGGAAAAGAAAGTCATTCAGCATAATACTAGTACTGAACTTACCGCAGGATCGATATGCTTTGCAAAATCGCGATATTCCTCGAGAACTGGTCCAAGCTTAACCTTAGGATCATTCACATTCATTAGCAGATTTATTATTGCCTGAGTCGCACAAGCGTTAGTAATGACCTGAAGAGGAAAAAAAAAGTTACGGGCACAGGACGAACAATCCACATAACATGCCACATTAACGCTTTGAGGACGGCGTAAATCGTTCTTGGTACTCGGATTTTTAAGAGCTTTTTTTAGCTGTACAAAGATTTCTCACTAGACTTTCACTAGCCCTCCGACAGCTCGAAAGAACGGCGATTTCAATACTTGGATTGGTGTCTAAGAAAACCTTCTTAGTGCCCTATAGCAGGCGGAGATTACGATTCACCTTCGGTGCGCTTTGTTTCGCTCGATTAGGATCCCTACTTGGATTCTTACCAGACTTTTGATAGTCATCCAACATCTTAAATTTCAACGAGTCTGAAATTAGGTTTGCTGGTGGAAGGGACTTCTTAGAGCACTAAAAGCGAAAGAAAACTACGCTTCACGACTGGCTTATTTATGCAGATAAAAGGCCTACGAGCGCTCAGAACATAGGAGGAAACTTTTAAAAAAGCCGTAGAACTTCAAAGTAACATAAGAACCTGTGATTTTTTCCAATTAGAAAGAAAAACTCCTACTAAATAGCGAAAATCGCACAGCGTGCAGTGATCAATTGCCGTCCGAAAAGGGTTAATGTTGACCCACAAACATATAGATGTATTACTATTATTGGTCGACATACCTGTTGAGCAAAAAAAACATTGTTCGTCTCGACAGGCTCACCAATCGGATCTTCACCAGGTCTCCACTTGAAGAGGAAGATCAAGCCATAAATTGGACTAAAACAGACGTTAAAAACGGAAGACATGGCTATCATTAGGCCAGACGTTGTTGCATTTCAGGAGATAAACAAAATTACTGTGATTTGGAGGATAGGAAAACTATGATCAAGTTTAACGAGTGAAATCAATAAAGATAGAGAAATAGTGATTTGACAAAACTGTTCCTCTATCTAGACAATATGAGCGCATGTGGCGCAGTGGTTAGAGGTGCCCTGCGTCGGACACGAGGTCAATGGTCCGACCTGGCGCTCACGGCTCACCAAGCCATCCATCCCCCCGGGGTCGGTAAATTGGTACCAGACAGGTCTCAGACTTGTCTGGAAGGATAAGCAGCACTGACTCGGTTCAGCGGGAGGTCACCGCGAGTCATTGTAAGGTCAGATATGCATTCAATCACCTCCAACGAAGTTAGAAATTGAAGTCGAATGCATGGCGCATCCCTCAGGGATTGATCAACGCCGAGAGCTTTATCCTTTAGCTTTTTCCTAGACGTTGTGCAAGGTTGCCATAACTCTCCAAGATCGATGGCCGATGTTTCGACGACTCCGCTTTTTTCAGAGCCGTGTACGAATTGTACTACTCAAAACTGGATGATTAAACCTTCATATCAGTATTTACAACATTACAGAGACTTTTCTATCGAATAGTTACTCAGCTCTTTCATTGGATATGAGATTCTATGCCCATCTTCATCTACAGAGAAATATTTGTGAATACAGAAGATAGGTAATCTTCGAAGCTAAAAGGACAGAGCTCACGGAGTTGATTAATCCCTGACGGATGCGCTAAGCATTCGTGTTCAATTTTCATTCCTTTGAGGTGATTGAATGTATATCTGACCTTTACAATGACTCGCGGTGGCCTCCCGCTGCACCGGATCAGTTCTCCTTACTCTCCTAGATAATTCTGAGACAACTCTGGCACCAATTTACCGACCCCCGAGGGATGGATGGCTTGGTGAGCCATGAGCGCAGGATCGAGTCATCGATCTTGTGTGCGATGCAGAGCACCTCTAACCCCTGCGCCACATCCGCTCAGGTTTGAGGTAGTCTTAGACATAATTATCACCCGACTATGAAGAAGAAGAAGCCCCTAAGACGTCAGCCATCGCTTTTGAGAAGGTAAAGAAACCCCGCGATAAGCTCAAATAGGGGGATAAATCGAAAGATATCTTTCGTTTTTCATTTCACATGCCAACTTCACTGAAGCTGGTCTCTAGCTTCAAAACGACATTTAAAAAATGCTAAAATCAAGGGAAAAACAGCAACAAAAACCGCTCACCTGTAAGGTGCTGTCTCTTCTTCGGACATCGAATGTAACTCTTCCACCTGAACTCCTTCGACACCAAATCCGCGCAACATTTCAGTGAAAACACCGGGATCCGATTCGATTAACGTCCACACACCCTCGTCGGACGACATCTGATAAAGAAAACTTCCGTAAGACATATTGGTGCACAGGATATCGATTATCGATAAATATCGATTGATAACGATTGTATGCTGAAGGGAGTTCTTTAGAGAACGAAAAGAATAGAGGACAATAGCAGCATCTCAGCAAAACACTGAAAACAGCGGGCGGAAGTTGAACCAGGGTTCGACTTCTACGCCAGGGGCGCACACTACCACTACACCACCGGGGCCGCCGCTACGCTATGAATTAGTAGGTTGCTATAGAGAGATTCCATAACAACACAACCACTCCTTTAAAGACTAAATCTATGATGTTCAGGATAATCGCTTCAAAATCAATTTGATATACGGATAAGAGGGATTTTCGTAATAACTACGAGGTGAATGAGGGGGGAGGGAGTAGAGCAGTGGTTAGTACACACTGTACCAAAAAAACGAGGCGCTGGTTCGACCCCACACCCCACTGCCTTCGCAATCAGTCAACGAACGTCTCAGGGAACACTTTAGTTGAACAACCTCTAAATTCTAAAGAGGAATCATCTCGATCGGCATTCTACGACATTTCTAACCCCTTCGCGACCATGGACCCCACGCGCTGCATCTCTGACCCTCAGTGTGTTGCGTGGAGCGTTTTGCGTCTAACAATGCCATGGTGGGGTTAGATGCCATTGCTAGACGCAACCACGCTGGGGGTTAGAGACGCAGATGTTGGGTTTACGATCCCGAAAGGGTTAAGGAATACGAAATCCACAAGCAGAACCGAAACAACACGAGAAATGATCGAAAATCTTTGTGGTGGGTGAGTGCGACGAAGCGAATCGAACCTAAAGTTCCGCACAGTACATCGTAGTGCTGGCTGGTGTAGACAAACAAACAAATAGACAGGTAAACAAACAAACAAATAGACAAGTAAACAAGTAAACAACGGCGGAGAGGACACTGTCGCAGCCCGCCAGAATAAACAATAAATAAAAGTCGTCGTGACGGAAAAGCTGCCGTTCGTCGCTTGGACAATCGTAGCAGCTAATCCTGCTGAGTGGCCACTGCACGTTGCCTCTGCTGAACTTGATAACTGTATAGGTTAGCAGTCTTGTAATAGACCATAAACCACTAAGTAACTATAAGAAAGGTTTAAGGAACGCATGTGGCGCAGTGGTTAGAGGCTCCCTGTGGCACACGTGGTCGATGGTTCGATGTTAGACGGCGACAAATGAAAAACCCAATCTAATTCGCTGGTCAGGAACTTTCCATAGGAATGCTAGTGATCATTCGAAAGCTTAAATCCCTGGCTAGAGCCACACATGGTCGGATTCTCTAAATACCCTCTTATATGCTGTGAAATCCAAAATGAAATTATTTTTAGAAAACCACGTATTTTTTTTCCTTATCTCGCTTATATTTCGCTGGAGAAAACTCCTACCTCAGAGTGCTAATACTCATTCGATAGCGCAAATTTCGAAGAACTAAAAAATCTGTTTTGTCTCTGGAAAAGCTCTTTCGATAGCGCGGTAGGAGAAAGAGAAGATTCGTGCTTCACACCTCGCCGGAGAGAGATCTTTCTTCAAACTCTTCGTATTTTTTCGATAGCGTAAGTTCCAGTGATTCCAACGCTGTGCTTATTTTCTGGAGATATCGTTGGCAGGGAAAAAGATATCGAGGTTTGCATTTTCGGCGAGCTTGTTTATCGGCCAAGTCCATGGGGTCGGGGGGCGAGGCCAGTTGGTCGATACCTTGGCCGTTCGATATAGACGTCGGTTGGGAATCGAACCCGGGTCGTCCACATGGCAGTCGAGCATTCTACTACTGAACCACCGATGCGTTGATGTGTTGTTGTGGTGCATGATATTTGTAAACAATCTGATCGAGTATATTCCAAGCACCTTTGGTAGTTTGTCATCTGATGCGTCAGGGAGATCACCACATCTTGCCACCAGATCGATATTGTCTGGATAAAATCGCGAGGATTCATGTTGAGGTCGCTGAATACTTGCTTCACACGTGAATAGATATGCGCTGATTTATCCAACTCGTCGGTGCTCAGAATCGAGTTGTCAACGTATAAGGTGTTCTTTATTTCTCAGAGCAGATCGCTATCTTGTTTGTAGTGGTCGAGGTGGTGATGGACTTTTCCTACGAGTGAAAATGGTCCTGAGATCAATCCAAAGGTGAATCTGATGAAACGCAGGACTCAATGTTACCTGGAGAAGGTGGTGATTATGTTGAACCACAGGCATCGTGTCAGATCACGGCCATCTTCATGCAGACGAAGCTTGCAAAAATGCTTTCTCGACATCTGAGATGATCGCTGTTTTTCCGAACCTGAAGCGAAGTAGGAGTCCAAACAATTCCGGAAGAGTCACAGGTCCTCGATGTTCGAGGTCATTCAGTGATGGACACCGTTTGTAGTGCGCTGAAGCGTCATAGGACTATTCTCAGTTAGATAATTGTTTTTGAGCCACTCATGTCAGTAGTCTATCAAAGAGGGTTGACTTATAGAGCCCGATACACGTGTTTTGATCTCACGTGTACCGTGCTCTATAAGTCAGCCCTCTTTGATAGACCACTGACATGCGTGGCTCAAAAAATAGTTATCAGGCATAGTGAAATTTGAGCTGTGGTCATAGGAAAACACTCGAAACGAAAGCTATTCTCAATCTCGTTGTCGCTTTGCTTGGTGTTAGAGCGGTTTGGTGAGGAATATAATAGATTCGAGAGCTTTCATCGGTCTTCTTTTCGTTGATTTCCCCAAGAATATCCAATCGAATCCGTCCTTCGAATATACCATTGTGTATGTTCAGCCAGGTTTCATCGTTTTGTAGAGATTTCCAGACGCTCACGAGTCTATTGAACGCGATAGCTTTATTTCCTGCTAATGTAGTTGAAATTTCCTTCCAAGTGAGAGGCGAACCTACTATCCGTCACTTCATTTCTCAAAAGTTTTACTGAAATTCCCCCATATATATCGATCCATCATTGTCATTCCATTCTTTTCGAAACTTACAAATTTCTCTGTCTCGGCTGATTCCAAGTTTTCCAGAATTCTTCCCAGTCGATCTCTTCGCGATTATCTGGTTAGGGATGATGGATGAGGGCGGTACTGACCTGACCTTGCAGTGTCCAAAGCTCTTCCTACTTGTCTATGTCGTCATAATTTTCCTGGGTCAGCTGTGCGTCATTTTCTTCTTCTTTCTGTTGTATTTGCAATAGCACATTTTCTTTTTTGCTTTGCTGCAAATGCTTTGAATCTCCGATCTTACCTGTGTGCAAGTATTGCATTTTGCAATAAACCCAATGATGTAGAGCGATGTGCAAAAAACGTTTGTGTCAGCCGGGATTTGAACCCAGATCTTACTCTTTCCTGGAGCATGTGCTTAACCGTTGCACCACTCGCTTTGCACTGCACTCTTTCTACGCTACAATGCGTTATCTATCAATAGCCAACCGTCTACGGTGTGGTAGGGAAGTCATTGTCGACATTGAACCCTTTGTCGAACCGGAAAGAGTAAGATCTGGGTTCAAATCCCGGCTGACGCAAACGTTTTCGCACACCACTCTACATCATTGCGTTTATTGAAAACATCATAACACCGCAATAGGCGGTCAAATAAAAATGATTTCCAATTGATTATTGTATTCCATTTTTGTCGGAAGCAAATGTAGGCTGGGTGGAATTGGTGTGGGGCTCGTGCTTTTCTATCAGAGTCTACAATTGATCGCAGCCAAAAAGGATTTGTCGATAAATCGACCATCACATGTATTAGAACCATCATATAGCTTTATAAGTTAGAAAAATAGTTTATAAAGAATATATGCATATATACGACATAGTATAACTATAGCTAGGATGTTGATTTATGACCAGGGATTCACAACGCGCCCAGTGTAATCGTATAGACCATTAATGCAAGATACATGACTCCAGCTGCTTACAATCCTCGAACCAAGCTGACAACTTTGTAATAGTATAGTCAATTAATAAGCAGATATCAGGCCATAATCTAAGCCCTCTTGTCAATATAAACCAGGAACCATAAGAAGAGTGAAATCACAATCGAAAGTGAACCAGATTCGTATCCATCAACTCGAAGCCAGCAGAAGAATTAATGATAGCCAACGTCGTCACAGGAACAGTATAAAAAGGATAAGACCAGTGGAGTTAACTTCATCATTTCGTCGTTATGTCTTCAGAATCACCCAGTCCAGCTAGTGCCTCCTCGCCAGCCCACACTATATGGAACCCCCTCAGCCCAGACCTCCAAGAACTCCAACTCAACGAATCGTGGAAACAACAGGCCCGAAACGGGTCACCAGCCTGGGCAACTCCTGGGCGACCTACGAGAAGAACTATGCCAGCTCAAGGTGAATGCACTTATAAGTCACGTAATCTACAGTGTCCCGCGTCATCCAGATGCAATTCAAAGATTGGTGCTGGACATGGGATCAGCGATTGGAAGACTCGAGAGAATGGGGGAGAATATGATCCTCCATCTGCCGGAACTATACCAGAAACTCCATCACAAGGAACTGGGGGATCTTAAGAACGATCGAGAGGCTCCATGACAACATGCGTCACTTGAGGGCCATGCTGACCATAATGCAACAAGAGGACGCGATGTACGAGATGTCCCTGAGGCTGAGACAATCCCGAGGAGGCCTGGAATCTTGGGAACCACCACGAGAATATCTAGAAGACTAGGACGACGATGTCTTATGATCTCTTGTGCCTTAGTTTACTGTTTCTACTTATTAATGATTTGCTTTCCTATGTTTGTCGATCGTCTTCCTCATTAGTTATTGTTTATATTGCATAAGGTTGTACTTTCGTTATTATTCGTTATATTAGTAATGTTGTTATTCATAATGAAGGTTTAATTACCCAAGTTTGAGGTAATCGCAAAACCACTGTTGGCCGGACGTCCACAACTAAATCAGAAAACCAATCCACTGAACCGCTGCTACAAAAATTGTGGCGCATCGGCCGGACGAAAGAACTCAGGTCAGAATTTTCTACGATTCACTATTATTTCTACTACTTTATTCAACTTCACTAGACCATCATGACTCAACGCTTGGATCTTATCGCTCAAAAACAAATGCTTCACAAATATACCGGCCAACTCGATAAAGTATTGGCAAAGTTCAAGGAGGACCAATTGGCAATGCTAAATATAGCAGCTACGGAATGACAAACCACTCCAGATTTCCTCCTGATGTCAACACTTCATGGCGATCAAATCGGTGTAATATGCGAGAAATTTATCCAAGAGCAACAACAACTTTTTGTTAAAGAAGATACATCAAATGGAGAGAATAAAGCTGACATCTTTATTTTATTGGAGAAATATTCCTTGACCAGCGCAAAAAGGATTGTGGCGTGGATCTTACGCTATGTTCACAACCTGATCAATAAAAGAAATGCTCGGAAGTGCATCATATTGCATTATCGACATTTTTGCAAGATACGGAAGTGAGTCACAATCCCTACATTTCTGGAAAGGAAATGATCACAAGCCGGAAAGGTATTGGTCAAGCAACATCAGTTATCATCAATAACTACTTCCATGCTCCAATCCATCACACACCTGAACATCAAGCAGGATGAGGAAGGGCTACTGCGATGCTTCGGACGTCTAGGACGAAGTGACTTATGTAAGGATGCGAAAAATCCCTTACTAGTGATACAATATTCCTGGTTGGCGTATGCCATCATTCGAGAAAGTCACAACAAGGGACACCCGGGCATAAGTCACATATTCTATTGTGCGAGAAAGATACTGGATTCCCAAATTACGAGCACAAGTGACACGAATCATCCGTCTTTGCATTCAATGACAGAGGTTCAGTAACCTTTCCTACAAGTATCCTGAACTAGGAGATCTACCTCAACAAAGGGTTCTCCGGTCACGACCTTTCGAACATGTGGGACTCGACTATATCGGTCCACTAATGATCATTCAGTCGGATTCCACTGATACAAAATGTTATGGAACAATAGTAACTTGTATGGTAACGAGACTGATACATCTAGACATCGTATCCGATCTCACAACCGGAGCATTCCTCATGTTCCTACGTCGCTTTTTCGCGCGACGAGGATTGCCCTCATCGATCACAAGTGATAATGCTCCGACACTTATACTTGCAGAAGCAATATTTAACGAACGCTTGCAATCTATTCAAAATGACCCAGAAGTGATACGCACAATGGATAATCATGAAATACAGTGGAAATACATTACACCGCTTGCTCCATGGCAAGGAGGCTTCTATGAGAGACTTATCAAGTCAATAAAACAGTCTCTTTATAAGACTCTTGGAAATCAAAGCTTTCATTGGAACACTTGACCACAGTAATCATAGAGATCGAATCTCTCCTCAACACAAGACCACTGTTGTGTGTGGAATCAAACTCTATAAGCGAGGAAATACTTAGATCAATCGACTTTCTTCAAAATGGGTTTGAAATCCCCTATCCTTTAAACGGACCTAACGAGGAGCAAAGCGATCCTACGTACTTCCCACCAGAGATGGAACCTCTCTTACGAACGAAGAAACAAGTGATAGAGGCTGTGAATTCATCTTAAACTTCACAGAAAATGTTGGAAAATCTGGAGAACTCAGTACTTAACGTCACTACGTGACAAACATCAAAGCGGATTGAGAAATAAAGGAAGTTCTAAATATGCCCCTAACAAAGATGATTTCGTACTTATCAACGATCCAATGCAACCACGACACTTTTGGGAAATGGGCAAAATAAAGGAATTGATCACGAATGCACAAGGAGTTTCTCGCGAAGCAGTGGTTTTCACTACCGT